CGGAGGACGATGGGACCCGGGCGGTCTGCTTACGCTGCGGCAGCACCAGCGCCCCCGTGGCTCTGCCGTGCCCGGCGGACTTCCCGGTCGGCTCGCCCCTCGGGCAGCTGTCGGCGAAGGCGGCGGCGATCCGGGCGCTGCGGGAGCCCCACTGCCCGAGCTGCGGCACGGTCACCTTTCGGCCCGCTCGTGCATCGCCAGGGCCCCTGGGCGAGCTGGCGCGACGAGCCACCTCCGGCGTCCTGGTGGGCTGGGGCGTCACGCTGGCACCCTGCGTCTCCTGCCGCGCGACGCTGGCCAGCGACGCCGCGGCCTGCCCGCGCTGCGGCAGCACGGCCCCGCGCGGCAGCTACCTGTCGCGGCCGCAGCTCCAGCGCTGCGCCCGCTGCGGGGCCCTGGTGGCCAGCGACGCGGGCCTCTGCGTCTCCTGCGGCACCGAGGCCTTCTGGCCGCGGGGCCTCTTCTGCGGGGGGCCCGCGGACCTGGCCCTGGAGCCGTGCCCGCGCTGCGAGCACGAGCTGGCCGCGGACGCGCGCCTCTGCGTCCGCTGCGGGGCCACCTGGCCCGAGGGCGGCCCCGAGCGCGAGGAGGCTGCCGACGTGCCGTGGGAGCGGGACGAGGGCCCGCGGCGGTTCCTCACCGTCGCCGAGGCGGCGCGGGCCTCCGGGCAGCAGCGCCCGCCACCGGCGCCGGCCGGGCCGCGGGGCGGCCCGCTCGGGGGCGCGGGCGCGGACCCGAGGGCCTCCGCCGTCTGTGCCCCGCCGGCGGCGGGCTGCGTGAGCGTGGGGGCAGCGGCGGCAGCCCAGTTCCTGGCGTGAAAAATGTGGCCCCCAGTCTCTCCCCCGTCTCGCCCACAGACTGCCAGAGCCCTGCTGGCCCGCAGGGAGTTCAGGGCCCAGGCAGTTCGGCAGGAGCGAGCCCTTCGGTGTGGATCCCGATCTCTGGGATCCTGCAGCCGACCCGCATGGTAAGGAGGAGCAACTTTCAGAGGCTACTCCGGCCCATCCTTGGCCGCTTCCGCTGGATGCGCCCCGCCCGCAAAGTGCCAGCATGGCCTTCCAAGGCCCTTGCATCTTTACAATACCGCGCATCCTTATGGTACGGGTCGATTGTATTTCAGGGGTGTTGAAACCAGAATATGGAGACCATGCGTGGAACTCTAATGTGCAGAGCCCAGCATGTGGAAGCTTCATGCGCAACAAGAATACACAGAATGTTGACCATGTGTGCGGAACCCAGCATGTGTGGAACCCGATATGTAGAAACATCTTGAGCTAATGTGTTTGCAACTTGCGTGTGGAACCCTGTGTCCTATGTGTGGAGCCCGATGGGTAGATCGTCGTGTTCGGGATCCGGTGTGTTGGACTACATGTGCTTTTTAAACATGTGTACGTTGAACCCCATGTGTGTTGAATCCTGAGTGTGTGAAGCCCTTAACTCCATGCGTGAAACCTATGTGCGGAGATCTCTAGGGATCGGTGGTTCTAGGAGATCTCTAGGGATCGGTGGTTCCACGAGGTATGCGCAGAGTTCTCGTGGACCTGCAAACAGTCTGCATCGTTTTTGTAGGCTCGACGAAGAAACCAATCCTGGGGGTGCATCAGTTCTGTAGTCGATCTACGACCCGACCGAAATATAAGATTGAGGTCGGCTCGGGGAAAGTACCTCAATGTTCTTCGTGTTTGTGTGATGTTCACGTGCATCCTGGAGGAGGGCACCCTCGAATGTTCTTCAGTAAAGATCCAGGTCGGTTCTGGGAGGATGCCCGTGCATGTTGGACTTTCACGTGCATGCTGGGGAAGGGCACCCTCGGATGTTCTTCAGTTGGGGCCGGCGGACGGCCACATGTTCTTGAAGGATGTGTTTTTTTTTATCAGGAGGAAAAGAAACACACAGACACAATGAATCGTCGATTCCCAGAAAATATGGGAACATATGGGAAGTGGGGAGGAAGACAAAAACGCAGAACATATAGGAAAATATGGGGAATCCTGTTGTTTGTGTTTATTTAATTTGTGTGTCCCAGGGCCCCTTCATGTTTGTCCTGGGCTCCGTACGGCTACCTTTCGTAAGACGATTCCGGAGGCGGCCTCTCGTCCGGCGGACCCCATCCCTGCGAGATAGCAGGTCCAGAAGCATCTTGGCGAACAGCGCCCAAGGGCGCGCGCACCGCGCCCAGGAGCGCTCCACAATGCCCACTAGCGCTCACTGGCGCCCACGTGGCGTCGAATGGCGCCATATGGAGGAGATGAATGACGTCCGCTTTGCGCGCTGATTGCTAGGCTCGTGGCCGCCAGGGGGGCGACCAAAAGCTTCCGTGAGCTGCTTTTCAACCCTTGCTTCGTTTTCGCCTTCTTGGGTCCCCTGGGAGACCTCCGTCGCCACCGCTGGATTCGTTTCGAAATCCTTGTCAGGACGCGTGGCGCTCACTACCGCCGTTGGCGTAACAAAAACGCCAACCAGGCATAATGGACAACGTTGCTGAATTCAGAACCGCCATGCCCCCCAATTTCAATGTTGAAAACGGGGTTACCTTGGCGGTGGGATTTGGGGCAGTTGTTCTGCCGATACTTGCACCCCGACAACGGCCTCGAACGCGACATTGAAATGGAGGGTCCGGGGGCGGCATCGTCGAAGCAACGTCTGCGGATGGGCGTTTTTAACGCCAACAGCGGCAGGTACGGCCGTACTCGGAACTTCCCCGAGGCGCTGGCGGCCAGAGGAGGAGGAGGTGGAGGAGGAGGAGGAGGAGGAGGAGGAGGAGGAGGAGGAGGAGGAGGCGGAGGCGGAGGCGGAGGAGGGAGGAGGAGGAAGAGGAGGAGGAGAAGGAGGAGGAGGAGGAGGAAGAGAAGTATGATGGAGGAGGAGGAGGAGGAGGAGAGGAGGAGGAGAAGGACAAGAAGGAAGAGAAAGCGGAGGGAGGAAGCGGAGGGAGGAGGGCGGAGGAAGGAGGAGGAGGAGGGGAGGCGAGAGTTGGAGGAGGAGGAAGCGGAGGAGGAGGAGGCGGAGGCGGAGGAGAAGGAGGAGGAGGAGGAGAAGGAGGAGGAGGAGGAGGAGGAGGATGAGGAGGAGGCGGGCGGAGGAGGAGGGAAGGAGGAGGGAGGAGGGAGGAGGAAGCGCTCCGCCGCCCGCTGCCCGCGCGCACCGGCGCCCCGCGGGAGGAGGCGCCGGCCTACCCCGCCCCCCCCCCCCCGGCGAGCGGCCCCGCGGGGCCGCACGCCGCCCGCGGCGGCGGCCCACGGCGGCCCGGCGCGCCCCCCGCGAGGCCTGACCTTCCAGGGGCTCGGGGGCGGCAGAGAGGGGGGCGACGTTCGGGGCAACGTTAAGGGCAACGTTAGGGGCAACGTCAGGGAGGCCACGTCGGGGGCAACGTTAGGGGGGCCACGTCAGGGGCAACGTTAGGGGGGGCCACGTCAGGGGCAACGTCAGGGGGGCAACGTCAGGGGCAACGTCAGGGGCAACGTCAGGGGCAACGTCAGGGGCAACGTCAGGGGGGCAACGTCAGGGGCAACGTCAGGGGGGCAACGTCAGGGGCAACGTCAGGGGGGCAACGTCAGGGGCAACGTCAGGGGCAACGTTAGGGGGGCAACGTCAGGGGGGCAACGTCAGGGGCAACGTTAGGGGGGCAACGTCAGGGGGGCAACGTCAGGGGCAACGTTAGGAGGCAACGTCAGGGGCAACGTCAGGGGCAACGTCAGGGGGAGAGTATAGACTCGGGTTTCCGGACCCCGTCGTCGGCTCTCGGCGGCCTTCCGGCCTCGGGCTGCCTTCCAGCGGCCGCGCCTCGCCGGGGGCGTTCCACGGGGCTGCCCGGCTCGCCCCGACGGGCCGCTGGAGGGCCGGGGGCGGCAAAGAGGGGGGTGGTGACTAGGGGGGCTGGATTTCATGGCGCGGGCCATGATGTTTCCCCAGATGTCCTGGCGCCTCTTCTCATTTCATTACGTCCCTGCAGCCCCCCCGCTGGGCCGCGCACATGCCGCCCGTCATGGTTTGCACCCCCCCCCCCCCTCTTGGACACCCCCTTCTTGGCCGCTCCCGAAGGGTGCTGAGAGAGGAGCCTTCCAGAGCCCCCCCAGACCTCCTCGCGCTGTGAACAAAAGTCACGGCGGGGGGCTTTTCGCTATTTTCGGCCTCCGGGGGCCCTCGCCGGATCTCGGGACCTTGAGAGCACGACTCGGGACGACAAGCCTGTCCCGGGGAAGGGGTCCAGACCTCTGGGGGTCGACGTCGGGGGGTCTGGGACAATAGCCTTCCAGAGCCTTTGGGCCTCCCAGATGGTACCCGAGAGGATGGGGGCGAAGGACATCGCTCTGAGTCGCCGATGCATCGACGATGCGGCTCGAGGTGGAGCTCGGCTTTCTACACACCGATGTCGCCGATGTATCGCCGAGGTCGATGCATCGTCGCCGATGTATCGGCAATGGGAAACGATAAGTAGGGGGGGTGCACCGACCCCCAATCGCCCATTGATCGCCGATGGGGGCCCGATAGCTCCAGCCTGCCCAGGAGCGTGCGAATTCACTATCTGGGGCCTATCGCCGAACTATCGGCGATGTATCGCCGGTCCCAGGTCGATGTTTCCCCCCATGCCAGTCCCCCCCAGACCCATAGACCGATCTGGGCCTTAGCTGCCTCGATACGCCTGTTTTGAAACGCAACACGTATCGTGTTCAACACTTCCGTATTGACACGCTGCGTGTTGGCTCAGCGTGTTGGCCACTGATTGTCGAATGTACCGCGTCATGCCTACGCTTTCAGTCTACCTGTTGAGCTCTGTGTCAATACGCTGCGTGCCAAGATCTGGACTGCCCGAAACCTCGACAGGAGTTCAGATCACGAGCTACAACTCGTACCCATGCCTATAACGCGGTCATCGCCTTGCCCTTGCCCATTCCTCCTCCCTACCGGTCTGAGTGTGTGCTGTCCGCTGGTCGTTCAGATGTCGAGGTCCTGGCGCTGTCTGCTAGCCCCCCTGGAAGGTCAGGGGAGGGGGGGCCCTCATGCCGGCGCCGCGGGTGCAGGGGCAGGACAGGTCGGTGCGGCGGGGGGGGGAGGGGGCGCCAGCCCTTGGCATCGCTCGGACGTGTGCATGTTTCCTTCGGCGAGGACCATCGAGGAGCATCCTTGACCATCTGGCGAAGAAGCCACGCACGAAACCGAACAAAAACACGGGGAATGGACGTCCGAGCGATGGCGCGAGCCCCGTTCGGCTTGTGCAGTCCACCCGCACAAGAAGGACGAGCAGCTCTCCAAGCCGGTTGCCCCCCTTGCAGCCCTTCCCTCCTCGGCCCAGCCTCGGCCGCTCTCGCCCCTCGCTGGCCGTGGCCCGCCCGCAGCGTCTCGGCACGGCCTCCCAAGGCCCTCGTTGCCTCCCAGGAGGAGGAGGAGGAGGAGGAGCAGGAGGAGGAGGAGGAAGGAGGAGGAGGAGGAGGAGGAGGAAGGAGGAGGAGGAGGAGGAGGAAGGAGGAGGAGGAGGAGGAGGAGGAAGGAGGAGGGGCAGCGAGCGCGATCTGTGTTTCTGGGGCGACGGGGGAGAGGGCAGTGCTTCTGTAGGGCAAGGGCAAGCATGAGCAGCCCAGTCGTCGGCAGGAGCGAACCTGCAGTCAGAGCTTCTCGCGGAGGGCGGCGGTAAGGATTGCTGTGGACCGATCGAGCGCGCCCGCCGAGCGTACGGGGATCTGGCCATGGAAACAACGCTGCCCCCCCAGCGACCTTCAACTCCTCGCGTGTCCTCGGGAAACCTGTTGCCTGTAAGACAAGCGGGTCCGCGAGGTCGGTGCGGCGGCGGGGGAGGGGGGACCGCCAGCCCCGATCGAGTTCTAAGACGCTCGGGTTCGAGGCTCGAGGTCTTCGGGCGCTCCGACGAGGCTCGGCGGCTTTCCAGCCTGTGGGGTGCTCTCTGGCAGCTGCGCCTCGCCGAGAGCGATCTCCGGGGGCCCGAATTGAGTCCCAGACGGCCGCTGGAGAGCCGAGGCATGGCCCGAAAGCCAAGAGCCACGGGTCTCCGACGACGTTCTGTTGTATTCCTTCCCAGTGTCGGGCACTTTGGCTCAGCGTGCCGCGTCGCCGGTTCTGGCCCGCGCTTCGGAGCGACGCGCTGGCCACGCCCCGGTCCCCGGGCGCCGGTGTCTCGAGCTTTCCCAGCGCCCCCCGCCCCGCGGAGCGGAGCTAAGGGCTCCCTCGAGGGCGCGAAGTTATTCGCGCTTCGCGCTTCGCGGTCCTCGTTCCTTCTCCTCCTCCTCCTCGTCCTCCTATTCTCCCTTTGGGAGGGCGGCGCGAGAGCGCGAAGTTATTCGCGCTTCGCGCTTCGCGCAGCGCGAAGCGCGAAGTTGGGAGCCCTAGCTCGAGCTTTCCCAGCGCCCCCCGCCCCGCGGAGCGGAGCGGGACGCTGCCCGCTGGCAGGGCACGGCGTGTCCCCGGGGCTGCAGCCGCGACGCGCTAGCCAAACGTCCCTGGCCGTGTGACTTGTTTCATCCGGGCGCGTGTCTCTTGGCATCGCTCGGGCGTGTGCATTTTTCCTTCGGCGAGGACCATCGAGGAGCATCCTTGACCATTTGCCGAAAAAACCACGCACGAGACCATTTTTCCTTCGGCGAGGACCATCGAGGAGCATCCTTGACCATCTGGCGAAAAAACCACGCACGATACCGAACCAAAAGCACAGGGAATGGGCGTCCGAGCGATGGCGTGTGTCTTGGATGGCGGCCTCTGGTGGGGGCCACGGTCGGGCCCCGCGGGGCCATCCGGAATGGATCCGTGAGGAAACACATGCCCCTGGGAAAGGGCTCGGCACCGAGAAGGGGGGTCAGCAAATGCCAAGTACTTCATTAGTGAATTTAATTGGTTTTAGGGTTATAACAAATGGTCGCAGCCACGCAGAGGGCGTGCGTAGCGACGCCCCAAATGCTCGGTCTCCAGTACTTCTACGTGGCGGCGCCCCCGCAGGCACGCAGAGGGCACGCGTGGCGACGGGGGCGTCGCCACGCAGAGCTTCTAAAGACCAAATATTTTGAAAACCAATTGTTTCCACTACCAAAGTAGCCCCTTACGGGCGACCACTCGATTGCGAATGGGTGGCCGACCAGCGGCGCCAGCCAGAGTAGACAATTCTCGACGCAACGTGCACCCCGCGCGAAGGCTGTTAGAAATCCCGGAATTTCCGGAACGTATCAATAGCACGCTGTGTCAATAGATTCTTCTCGTCCTACATTGAGGAAATCCGATCGGAGGATGTCAGGGTTCAGGAGGGGAAGAAACACCCAGGCACAGTTAATCGCGTCGGCTCCCCGGAAAGTAGTGGGAAGTATGGGAAGTGGGGGGGAAGACGAACACCCCGAAAAGATAGGGAAATACAGGGAAGCCTAGGATTCGCGTGCATTTATTTGTGTGTCCCCGGGTCCCTTTCAGGGTGGGCAGCGAGCGCCCAGAACGTAATTCGGGCTTTCGGATGTTGTTGCCTCCTCCCCCTCCCCCTCCCCCTCCTCCCCTTCCTCCCCCTCCTCTTCCTCCTCCTCCTCCTCCTCCTCCTCCCCTTCCTCCTCCTCCTCCTCCTCCTCCTCCTCCTCCGCCTCCGCCTCCGCCTCCTCCTCCTCCGCCTCCTCCTCCGCCTCCTCCTCCTCCTCCTCCTCCTCCTCCGCCTCCTCCTCCGGTTCTCGGAGGTGCTCCCTCGCCTCGGGATGCCTTCCGGCGGCCGCGCCCCGTCGAGCTGCCTTCTGTGGGGGGCGCCCGAGAGTCGTCCCCGGTCGGCCGCCTCGGAGACCGAGGCAGAGGATCGAGGTCGATTCGGGGGGGGCACCGTGCATCCTGGGGGTTCGATGCTCGTTTCGGGGACCATCCTGGAGCCCACCTAACGGATCTGTTCGACCCCAGTTCGACTCAAGTTCGACTCAAGTTCGACTCAAGTTCGACTCAAGTTCGACTCAGGTTGGACTCAGGTTCGACTCAGGTTCGACTCAGGGTCGACCCAAATCGACTGACGTTCGACGCAGCTTCGACGCACGAGTGGAGCGAGTGGCTCCGGGAAGGTCCCCAGAACGAGCATCCAATGGGGGAGGGCACCCGCATGTTATCCGGTTGGGTTCGGTTCGGGGATGTCACCCTGACGCTCTGGGGTGACACCTGTTCGGTCTGTTTGGGCCGACGGAGGGTCTCATGCTCTTGAAGGATGTGCTTCTGGCCTACAGGTCCGACCGAAGCCCAGAAGCCAGACCCCCTCGCGCCGTGAGCCAAGTCACGAAGGGATGCTTTGGGCACCTCTCTCGGCCTCCGGGGCCGCTTTGCCGTGCCCTCTGGGCCGTGCACGATCTTGCTCGGGATGAAGATCCAGGCCTCCTGAATTGGGTCCGAGTGCCCAGATCTCCTCGCGGGGAGAAGAAAAAAAAAAAAAAAAAAAAAAAAAAAAAAAAAAAAAAAAAAAAAAAAAAAAAAAAAACGACGGGAGGCGTTTCGTTCTTTTCGGCCTCCGGGGGCGCCCGTCGGGCCTCGGGGCCGCCAGGAACACGAGAGGGAGGACGAAACCCGGCCCCGGGGAAGGGGTCCAGACCTCTGGGGGTCGATGTTGTCGGGGGCGGAAAAGAGGGGGGTGATGACTAGGGGGGGGTGGATATCATGGCGGGGGCCATGATATTTCCCCAGATTTCATGGCGCCTCTTCTTGTTTCATTACGTCCCTGGCCCCCCCGCTGGGCCGCGCACATGCCGCCGGTCATGATTTGCACCCCCCCCTCTTGGACACCCCCCTCTTGGCCGCTCCCGAGGGGTCGATGTTGTGAACGAACATCACGACGTGGGGGGTCTGGGCAGCTGGGGTCGGAGGACTGCGCCGCGTCGCCTACGTATCGGCGATGCGGCTCGATGTGGAGCCCGACTTTCGCCACGCCGACGTCGCCGAGGCGTCGCCGACGTCGCCGGTGCATCGCCGATGCATCGGCGACTCATCTGCGATGTGGTGCGATCCTCCGACTCCATCTACGCCGACCCTATCTGGCAGTCCTCTAGAAGAGCTGGTCCCTGTGAAGGGGTCCGGAACTCATGGGGCCACTCTGTGGAACAGTCACAGCGTCGGCTGCGCGCCACCCTCGGCGGGAAATTGTCTCAGAAGGCAGGAGGCTTCTGCGAAGAGCCCAGGGGCTTCTAGCCGGGCTGGGCTGGCAGGGCTTCTGGGAAGCCCTCTGCCTTCTTGCTGGGATCGGAGCGGGGGTTGCTGAGGAGTTTGGGGGGCTATCAGTGGATGCCGAGGTGGGTAATATCTGGCATGGCGTCAAGCTCATACGTGGAACATGCTATTCAGGGGGTTCAACGATGCAGGCTAAGTGGGCGCCGCCCGATTAGCAGCGTTGTCGAGTCCACTTCTGATTTTGAGGTTAGGCCAGAGATAATCCAACTTGGCATGAACTGATAGCCCCTTCAACCTCCACGACGAAGACGACGAGGAGGAGGAGGAGGAGGAGGAGGGGCGAGCTCGTTACCAGCCGCGAGAAACAGGGGGTTGGGAGCACAACTTAAAGACCTCCTAAGGTTATCCCCCTCGGCAGCCCCCGCGCCGATCCCCGTGGAAGCCCCCTGCCTCCGTAGCAGGCCCCCCCCGCTCGCGCCACTTGTGCGCGCCGCCAACGGAAGTCTTGGATGCGGATCCTTTCTGCTTGTCAAAGGCAGGGGTCTGACTCAGCTGATTTCGAATATAAATGTTGTCCTAGGATATGGATTCGATGTGGTTTGCGCGGCAAGGGAGGATTCTCGGAAGGTCTCAATCGGGTATCCGTTTGGGGATCCTCTCGCGGCAGGGTCTTGTTTGAACGATTCTCTTGAGTTCTGTCGGGCGTTCAAGGTTGGTTTGGGAGATTCTGGTGCGGACGTTAGATCCAGGCACTCCCCCGATCTGCTCCCAGACCTCCTCCGAATGATTGTTTTGTCCCGACGATTTTCCTCCACCTTGGCCCCCCAGGAATTGCGTTTCCTGGGCCCGGAGCTGTCGAAAACTTTTGCGGGGTGGAATTCGATACCTGGGGAAGGGTCGGGATCCGAGATGGAGTAGAGGCTTCCGGGTCACCCCCAGACATCCATCGACTTGAAGATATCAAGGCGATGTGTTGCATTGTTTGCGACATCCTGGGGCTGTCTCGGACTATAGAGAACTGGTCGGGATGATAGGCCGGACCCGAGAAGAAAGGTCCCCAATCACCCAGTACCGAAAGTTCTCGGTAACGCCGTGGACGAACCTGTCGCGACCGAAATCTGGCCTCCGGTCTGAATTCCGGTGTAACGAGCGAGCCGTCGACGGCCTCGAAACCCTAGCCTGGACCCCGTCGCGCCGTCTCTGCATTCGCGGATGATCTGGGTGGGACACCAGGGGGCCCGCATTGAGCAAATTCTTTACGCTTCGCGTATCCCCACCAGCCCATCTCACAGCAGCAACTCTTGCGAAGCATGCCGACCGTCGTGTTTTTCAGGCGTGTGTCCGCTTGACCCCGCATATCTCCCCTGTTCCTCCTTCCTCCCGCCTCCTTGTACATCCTCCTTGTGGGGGGAGCGGGAGAAGGACGAGGCGGAGGAGGAGGGAGAGAAAGCGCTCCTCGTGATTTGAGTCGTTTGGGGTTTCTCGTCCTGGTGTGAGTCGTTCGGGCCCTTCGTCCTGGTGGGACACCAGGGGGCCCGCATTGAGCAAATTTAAAACATCAGACGTCGAGTTATAGGGCAGGGGTCGACCCAAACGGTGCTTTGGCGATGTCGTGGGCCGTTTTCAGCAAAGGCAGACTGAAGACGAAACGAGGGAGCACGAAAACTTGTTTGATCTGCGGCCCGCAAGGAAGAGTCCAGAGGGCGGGTCAATCGGGCTGACTGGGGCACAGAGCCAGATAATTTGCGAAGGCACGCAGCTGCACATGCACAGAACAAAATGAACTAAATTTAGGGAGACTCATCTTAGCGTCGAGAATGCGAGGAGTCGCCGAGACTGCGCCAGCTCAACACGACAAAAGGGAACACGAAAACAAAACGAAAACGACAAACAACGACGACAACGACGACGACGAAGACGACGACGACGGCGTCGACCGACGACGACGACGACCACGATGACGACGACGACGACGACGACGACGACGACGACGACGGCGTCGACGACGACTGCGACGACCACGACAACGACGACGGCGTTGACGACGGCGACGACCACCGCCGCGTGGCCCGCGCACAACGCGAGGACGACGCGGCGATGCCGGAAAGGACGACGACGACGACGACGCCGACGACGACGACAAAGACGACGGCGTCGACAGACGACGACGACGACGATCACGACGACGACGACGATGACGACGACGACGACGACGGCGACGACCACCTCCGCCCGTCCGCCCTTGCGCCTCCAGTGGGAGGGGGGCCCAGGTCCTGCCTGACGACCACGACGACGTCGTCGACGACGTCGACCAACGACGACGACGACGACGACGAAGACGTCGACCAACGACGACGACAACGACGATGACGACCACGACGACGACGCCGCTGACGACGACGCTGACAACGACGACGACGACGACGACGGCGTCGACCGACGACGACGTTGACAACGACGACAACGACCACGACAACGACGGTAACGACCACGACAACGACGACCACGAAGACGACGAAGACGACGGCGTCGACCAACGACGACGACGACAACGACGACGACGACGACGACAGCGACGACGACGACGACGACGACGGCGACGATCGACGACGACGACGCCGACGACGACGACGACGATGACGACGACGACGACCACAACCGCGCGGCCTCCCTTCCGCCTCCATTGCGAGGGGGGGGCCAGCTGTACCCGACGACCACGACCACGACGACGACGACGTCGACCAACGACGACGACGACGAAGACGTCGACCAACGACGACGACGACGACGACGATGACGACAACGCCGACCACGACGACCACGACGACGACGACGACAACGACGATGACGACGATGACGACGGCGTTGACCGACGACGAC